AACATAAACTGGATCAAGTTTTCATATGTCTGTCTTCTTTCGTTTCTGAGGGAATTGCTGAATCTAATCTCATCACATCAGAGTTTAATTCCATGTGTTTCCTTTCGATGATTAAACCTGTCCCAATAGAAGATAATTTTATGAGTCGTAATAGCCTGTTGTTTCTTCCAGGTTAAAAAGAACCTAACTGTCCTAACACAATATCACAATAATGTATTTGGCAGTTACTGTCTCACCAGCTGAACTCCTGATTTCCTCTTTGGGCTTTGGCATTATGGTGACTTGTAGTTACTTCACAGCTGGGAAGTCCCTGAAAGGGCAGAATCAGTGGAATAGGTGAATCATGTACAAATAAGAATGCTGATGCTAAAGGGTTACACCTCATGCACAACTTCACCCCGTCATTATGAGATGAACGGAGACCGAAAGTCATTCATTTAGGGAGAATGGCGCACAGTAACAAACCAACTTTTGATGCTGATTTGCTGACAATCAGTACAACCACAGGTATAAAGTGGATGACAGGAGTAGCCTTCATAAACCAAATATTTTGGGGGGTTTTCAATTTGAACTTTTTTTAATCGTTGTTTATACCTGCGTAACATGATTTTTTCCCAGCCCATTCCCTCAAAAATAGATCTTTATTGGGGGGCTTTCCTGCTCATGATAACATAAATACTTTACTATGGCCATTGTTATACCATTTCACTAATCATGGGAACCTAGCATGGTCCCCAAAAACCAGGCTTCTAATTTTGTTTGTGATTACTGCCTGCTGTTGGATCATAAAGGCAGGGATTCCCCGATGCAGCAAGGACCAGGCTTCCCTCCATGTTGTTTTGGCTGTCTGGTCCAATTTCGTCAAGGAAAGAGCTCCGCTGAGATATTCCAGGGGCGGTAATTGATCTCTAACTTTAGCAGAGCAAGTTGTATATGTGGTGTAACGTTACCTCCCATTACTTACCCATATACTATATATGTGATTAAAAAGGAAACCTTTAAAAGTGGGGGGCATTCCTATCCTTGAAATGTATTAGACATATTCATGCTTGCGTCATCACAGCATGACTGCAGGTCCAATGTCACCTGCTTGTATATCTATTTACCCATTTGGCACTCCCTGCTGACAAAATTGCACTTTTAATACAGCAGAAGTAATTTCTGTGACACAGTGACCAGGTCCAGGGGTTAATCATGGACTGGGTCATGTGTGGAATCCAGCTTCTTTGTCAAACACCATTTGATCAGATTAAGAATAGTTCTTGTTAATAGGAAGCTGAGCAGGACAACCTGCTGAGGTCTCTGAAGAGGTGTAAGTTCCCATCCATCGGTGGAAAGCTGCAAAGGGCAACCAAGTTAGTGTATACATAATTATTTATAAAGGATGTTTGCATGAAGATCATATTTTAATGATCTGATTCTTTCTCAAACATGTGTTCAGAAGTTTATTTTACAAAGACAGGTAATAATTCTGATGCCAAAGCATGTTTCAATGACAATTGAAAAAATCAGGGCTGCCTGCAGCTAACAATTATTTTCATTATTGATTAATCTGTTGATTTTCTTGATTAATTATTCTACAAAATAAAAAAAGTGAAAAATGTCTGCCCCAGTTTCCCAGTGGCCAAAACAAAAGTATTTAAAAACAAAAAACAAACTATTAGTTATTAAAATAGTTTACATATTTTTCTATCAAAAAGCTTATCGATTAGTCAACCAAGCTGCTCACCTAAAGACTTTGTATGTATAAAACTTCTTCCATCCTTTCATCCATCCATCTTGTCTGCATGTTTCAGTAGTCCGTCTAAAGTCTGCCTGACAGAACAGAACTGTTACTATTTTAAGTGTTACAGCTGTTTACATCAGCGGAGTAATGGCTAGACTTAATTCGTGCTTCGTATAACCCAAAGTGTCTTTTTTTTAATGTGCCCCCCCCTGCTGGCCCTCTGTGGCATTTCTTCTAATCCTGTTGTCCTTCTCTTCAGGAGTACAAGATTCAGCCTAATTGGGCAAGTAGACAACATGTTGTGTTCAGACTGAAAATAGCACTATGTTTAAAAAAAGAAAAAATCAAAACACAAGGGGCTTTGTTTGTGTGGGCATGGTGATACAGATACCAGTGAGAAGATAAAGGGAAGTACAGTTTGAAGACTTATCTGACACACTGCACTGCATGTTATGTACATACAGTACCAATACCCCCTAAATAGCGGCCCTTTTGCAAGAGGTCTTTAAATACCCGTTGATAAAACTGTAGCAAATGTAAAAAAAACAAAACAAAAAAAACTTCTGAATATATTTAATTGTTTTCTCTTTATCTTAATCTCTATTGTTTACTGTTTATTGTTTACTTTCTATATTTAGCTAAGAGTTTATTGTTTATCTTATACTGTATTTCTTTATATACCTCTTCTATTTTCTAGTGTTTTGTAAGCTGCTGGAAATTCAATTTCCTTGAGGGAGTCATCCCAAAGGGATCAATGAAGCTAAGTCTAAATCTGTGTCTAAGTCTAAACATTATTTTGTTACCTCATCTTCACACAACTATTCTGAGGCCCCGTTGGCACCCCCTGGCAGCCCTCAAGGGGACCCCGACTTTGAAAAGCAGTGCAGTGCTGAGGTTAGGAGCAACTTTAGTTAAGCAGACCTTAAAAAAAACCCTGAAACCTTGATATTCAAACTCCCAAACAACTAAAATGAACTGATTACATAATATCTTTAGAGACAAATGCAAATGCAAAAATGTATTGAATCAGCTAGTCTGTAAAGAAAACACACTTTCCCAGTTCCCTAGACCTTGAAGAGCACCTTCACATCGTTTTCATGTTACAGCACATTGTGTATCAGCGCCTGTGCACCAGCCAACCAGAGACTTGTGATCTGAGGCAGTGATAGTTGCAACTATTCAATCACACTTCTGTTTGGAAATGCGTGTACCAAAAGGTGACAGGAGCTCGCAACAGACTGTCGAAGCTTTAGGAGGAGGAAACCTGATTCTGTCTTGGACATGGAGGAGTAGACGTAGAGAAGTTTATTTTTTTGCCCACTCATAGATAAATTCATGTAGGAATTTTTCTTCCTAGTTGTACTTTGTGCAAAAAGCAGAGATTTTTTTCTGATGGTGGAGCCTCTGCAGTAAATGGGGTCCCAGGCTTTGTGCTGAACACATTCAGCCAAGAATATGAACATAGCTCTTGTTATATGCCTACCACATTTAGGGGCTTTGGACCTGAACTGTGCCTCCCCTATTACATTCATAGACATAATATCATGGCACTCCAGTTAGGCTTTGGGAATTTGGCATTTCCACCAATTCCAGGTGTTGTCTTCTGTGTATATTTATTGGACAATGACCTCTAATGTGCTCTGGATGAACCAAGGATGAGTGTCAGTAATTCCATGTCTGAGCCAGTGGTACAAAAACACCAATTATTATTTTATGATAACCTGTTGCCAGCATCCAACAATGGCTCAGGAACAGTATTTTTTCAATTACGGAGAAGTTCTGGGTCAGGTTCCTATCCACTGCAGTATTGAGCTTACTCAGTTTGGTGTGTCCATGGTCACAAGCTTTGGTTTAGATTGGGTTTATTTAGAGGTGATCGCTTTTTACAAAAGGGTGATAACAATGAAGGGACATTGGTAGGGCTGTACTAGAATCTGAATTTTCAGAATGAATCAGCAGTTTAGGCAGGAATAGAGAAGAGGATAGCTATAGATTTTTTTGTTGTTTTTTTAAATCTTCAACATTATTCCTGATATTATTTTCTTCAATACACGTTACTTACAAATTTGAAAAATAAATGATCCTTGACTGCAGCCCAGTTACACAACAGTCAAGTTGCCCCACACTAGGTTAATCAGAGTTTATAGCCTGGCGTGCTGTTATCCTGCGTTGTATCTGTGCACAATGTCGCAGCTAAAGAAAAGGCAGCGATTCCACTGACAAAATGAGATGTGACTCTTGACAAATGATTCAAAATCACTGACGTTTGGTACCACTGACCTTGTTACTGATGCTCTTTCGTTTGGCTGGTTTTGGTGCCTGGCAAGGATACCCCTGAGGTGTAAGGGTTGATTCAGGATATGTTAGAGGGACTCTATGTCTCAGCTGTGTGATTATCTTTACGCTAAGTGTCAGGGTTAAGTAAGAGGAAAAAAATCACATTATTGTCCAAATTGATCATAGGAAAGGATGAATATTGGAATTGTTTGCTGCAAAGTATTTTGACATGAATGATTTATAGTCTATTACTAGTTCAGTGCCATTCACACTGACATGAACTCATTGCCCTCTTGCTGAGATACTCCCAGTGGGCCACAGTGTCTACACATGCAGTATGTTCAGACGGAGGCTGTTGGACTGAAGCCAATTAGTGTGTGTCTGCTCTTGTGTGCAACTGTGTATCTGTTAAACAGAGCTGCATGGTTTGTGTTTACCCTTTCATGAAGCTTGCGTGTGTGTGTGTGTGTGTGTGTGTGTGTGTGTGTGTGTGTGTGTGTGCGTGCGCGTGAGAGGAGGAGAAGAGAACCAGAGATACGTCTGAGTCTTTGTGCTGTCGAATGAATGCTGCACATGTGGCATTAACAAGCACAATACACACACACACACACACACACACACACACACACACACACAGATAAGCTCTCTTGCTGTCACTATCTCTTTCTCTTCTGTGTGCTCTGCTATTCCCAGCTGGGTGATAGCAGAGGGCTTCCTTTAGATCCACAGCTGATTGGACACCACTATCAGTCCTACTCTCCCACCTTAGATGCTTCTTACTACTCTCTCACCTCTGCCTCTACCGCTTCCTTTCCATCCGTCCCTAGGATATACTAGCGGTGTGTGTGTGTGTGTGTGTTTGTGTGTGCGCTAACCACAGTGCCACCTGCCACTGCACTCCCAAAGTACTGGCAGCCAAATCTAATCTCTCTCCCTCTCTCCCTCCCTCTCTCTCTCTCTCTCCCCCTCACTATACGGTTCTTTCCCCTCTCTTCAGATCTCGGATGTTATCCCTTCTCCTGAGCTGTGGACAACATCCTATCTAGCCAGGTGAGTCTCTCAATATCTCCCCCTCTCTCTTTGTTTTGTCATCTCACCCTGTCTCCCCCCCCCTTCACTGCTTATGGATCTCGGTGCTGCTGCAAAGATGCTGCGTCACTGTGCCAGTTTCATATAGACACAGTTGTAATTTTTACTGTAGCACTGAGGTACTAGTTGCATTTCTCTTTTGTCCCACCTGTTTCTCTGTCGATCTCGGTTAGCTTGTTGTACTGGGGGACGTGTGTATATGGGGGTGTAACTGGAGTCATGATTGTTTCTTATGTTTTTATGAATCATCCAAGAGAACAAGCATATAGGGCAATATTCATTTCTATCTAACATTGGTTTAGTCATTTTCCTTGAGTGTATATGTATGAAAACAACAGGCTATATGTGTGTGTGTGTGTGTGTGTGTGTGTGTGTGTGTGTGTGTGTGTGTGTGTGTGGACATGTCTAGACACTCCCAGACATTCCCAGTCATTCTGTTGGGCAGTTTCACTTTCACGTGGTTCAGGTGCAGAGTGGAAAGGCACATTATCCTCACTAATTGAGACACTGTAGATTCACTCTGTTTGTCCAAATGAATTTCTGGTGTCGAGTCTGGTCACCTCTCTTTCAATTGGAAGTGACAGATTAAAAGGGTGAAGCACAAATTGTCTAGCCACCCCATCCAGAGGTAGGCTCACCAACTTCAGATCGTTTTGCCTTTGGATCCTATTGGTTAAAGCAGCACAATCTGGCTAGCTTGGTGGATAATGGCCATGTGTTGTTTACTGATATTACCTCAGCTATTTGAGGCTGCAATAATCTTAAGAGCCACAGTACAGCGTAAACACTTCCAACCTGATGGACACAATTTGTACCTGAAATTGCACTCCTTTTCTATCAAGTCAATACCAAACACATTAACATCAATTTGAATCAGCTGAACTTACTGCACCCCTTCACTGATATGGCGTGCCTTTTATATCAACAAGTAGACAGGTAATGTTTGGACAAAGATGTAATTACAATGCCTATAAAAAGTATTCACCCCCCTTGGATGTTTTTTGTTTCTTTTATACATGAAATCATGGTCAATATAATTTGGCTTTTTTGACAAGAAGTTGCAAAAAAAAAAAAAAACCTTTAATATCAAAGTGAAAACGGATTTTTACAAACTAATGTCAATTAATTAAAAATATATAAGGTAAAGAAGATGATTGCATAAATATAAAATGTATAAAAGAAACAAAAGGGGGGTGAATACTTTTTACAGGCATTGTAAGTGTGTTTATTTTATGTTAACCCTGGTACTGTCAATCCCACTGAGAATCAAGGCTCGACAGCTCTCTGCAGGTCATTGTTGGTTTGCTGGTCGATTATGGTTGAGTGGCTGTCATCAACCATTAAACTATGAGCTCACACAAGCTGATTGCATTCTGTCTGCCCAGCATGAAACGGTTTAGAGACAAATGCAAATAATAGGCTGGTGAAGCTAGCAAGCCGAAGAGTTATAAACATTTTTGTCATGATTTGGTCTCCTGGGTGTGTAAGTAAGGTTCTGCTAATTGCTGATGCATTCACACTTATTTAATTAGAACTTAATGCCCTGTGTGTTGATGAAATTAATACTGTATAATAAATCAGGGCTTAGCGCTGTTAGGTTTTTGTTTTGGCTTTAAATTTCTATTAAGCAAATTTCTTTATATGAACGTTATATAAAATTACCCACTTATTATATTTTTTTTGTTACAAATGCTAAAAGTTTCATTTATAATCAACTTTACAACTTCTGGACCAACAAGCTCAGCTGCCAGCATAGGAACTTATTCAAGATAGTTTGCTAGCTGTTATGGCTGGATGTGAAAGTCTGCAGTTGTGTGCCAACATGCTAGTAGCAACAGATTGCTTTTGCACATTAGATTAAGGTGATATTATGTAAAGTGTACTTGTGTATTGTGAGTTGTATTTTTATGAATGTTTTCATGTTTTTACGTGCCTTATGGTGAAACAGAAGACACATTTCCACATTGTAGTTAATAGTGGTATCTGTAACTGCAACATTAAGACCTCGCCAGTGCAAGTCAAAGTTAATCAGTTGACAATAATCAATATGTTGAACCCCAACAAGAAATCATTACATTATCTATTTTATTTTACCTTTTATTTAATGAGTTAAGTTAATTGAGAACCAGTTCCCATTTACAATGACAACCTGGCCAAGAGGCAGCAACAGGAGGCATGTTGATACACTTAAAACATATGTTTAACACACACAAGACAACAGAGGTAACTACTATGTTTCAGACAGGTAAGTTACTGTTGTATCATTAAATATTTGAACGTGTTGTTCCAGTGCTGTGTGTCCCGAGAAAAGTTCCTGTTTAGGGCCCCGAGATTTTCAAAGGCATTTGGGTGCAGTTATTTAGAGAATTTGTAAATCATACAGTACAAAGGTGTTCTGAGCCAGTGGTTTCAGTGATAAGATTCTGCAAAAAAAGGAGAATAATAACATGCATTTTGTGCGGTAATTACCTTGAACTTGTCATATTCCGTGCTACATCTTTTCTCATCTCTCCCTGTCATGCCCACAACAGAATTATACTGTTTTTGAAATAAAGTAGGACATCAGTGCACAAGTCATCAGTCATCAGTCCGTCATCACCTATGGTCAATCTGCATGTGCTATGTCCCTATTACTTTTGAAACTAGCTAGCATGAGTAAAAAAAACAAGAAAAAAAAACCCTGTGAGGGCTTGAGAGGAGGTATGAAAGGCCTAACACACACACACACACACACACACACACACACACACACACACACGCAAGCATTGGCATCTGCAACATTGTCGATATAAAAACAGTTCTCTGTGCAAAAAAATTCAGAAATTCCTGCTCTAAGCAGCTTCCTCATCACTGACAGCACATCAATTAGGCTTTCCTCATATTTAATTTACTTTTTAGATGATCCTAACTGACTACAGGTGACAGTATTCACTGGCAGTTTTTCATCTTTGCTGTCTCTCAAATATTGATCATTCAGCTCCTTTGTATACCTTAGTGCCCCTTTATCAACTCTTTTGCTCTCACTCCCTCCCTTTTAAACACACACACACACACACACACACACACACACACACTGACAGTTTAGTTTGGCCTAGCAGGACACTGTTTGCCAGTTTTCAACAACGAAATGTACATTCAAACATCTGATGTGAAAACACATAAGCCTTCCTTCCATCTCTCTCTCTCTCTCTCTCTCTCCCTGCCGTCTTCATGAAGGAAAACATTAGTGGCATTTCCCAGCAGGTCTGTTTGACCTTCTCTTGTTTGTTTAGCCTCTCTTCTTTTCCTTTTCTCCTCACCCACTCCATCACACTGTTGGCTGAACCAGAAAGGCAGGCCATCCTCACCCGGTTACATTTCCCTCTACATCTTAGCCATCTACCAATTCCTGTATCAGCTATTAGACCCATTACAAATTACAAGCCACTGCAGATATGGAAGAAAGATATATAATTTGTATATTTCATAAATAGGGGTGTAATTACATCTCAATCTCGAACTTCGAACTCAAAGGTAGAATCGACGATGCAGCCACACCCCCAATGTCACGTCCAGCATGTATGCCAAGACGCAAAAACACACACACGTGCTGAACTGCGGCGTCAACACTCCTCTGATTTTACCTGCAGCCAGTTAAACAATACACATCAACCGACCGAAATCGAAGCCCCTCCTGCTACTCTGAAATCACCAGCGTGGAAGTATTTTTGTTCGTTCATTAACGTCAATTAACACTAACTTAGTCTACTCTACTTAGCAAGTGAAAAGATGATCTAGTTACAGTCCAAAATGACTTTAAGGCTTAAAATGCACATTGATAAGTACATATTCCATGAACACTAACATTGGGTCTCTTCGGAGTGTGCTGAAACAATCAAATCATCATTCTGTGTTGTTTCATTTCACTATGTTCACGTCTCTGTTTAATGTTTGTTCTGTTTACAACCTCGCTGTTGGAACGGTTTCAAAATAAAAAGCGGTTTCAAAATAAAAGCCCCCCGAAACAGAATAGGAAAAGGCCAAAAATAACTTATAAATAACATAATGAATGCATTAATAGTAATATTAAAAAAAGATCGAAAATTGAATCGAATCGTGACTTTAAAATCTAAAATTAAATCAAGTCGAGGATTTGGAGAATCGTGACACCCCTATTCATAAACTATACAGTATCTAGGAGCATCTGCAGACACACAAATCACTATCCGCTGTATTTAAAACTAAATTTGTCTCGATATTATATGAATAGATTTATTTCACACCAGGAAAATGGCAGCTTTGGTCAAGTCACCTCGTGCGAACAATCAAATAACTGTACTGTAGCATGATGTTGTTACACCAGAGATTCCCATCGTGGGGATCGGGATGACCCACTCTAGGGGTCATGACGCCTTCTTGATTTTGTTGTGTAAGAAAATCTTATAAAACCTTTTGAAAAAATATACACAGCAGAGCCATATCTCAGTATTTCATGCATTATTATGAAGAAAACTAAATGGAATTATTATTTTTATAGTTATAATTTTTATATTTTTTAAGATGTAAAGTTATAAAAAAAACTCACGGGATAAGGGCACAGTGGAGACCTGAACACAAGTTATATTTAAAGAGCCTTCTAAACTAATAGAACCAGAGGAAAAAGCCTATTAAGTAAGTATGATTTGTTAAATAAAACAATATGCAATACAGACAGATAATAAAGTTCCTAAAAAATATAAGGAAAACTAATTTCTGATCAATATTCACAGGAAACAATCTGCTCACTTATTTTACACAAACATCCTGAAGTTATTGTGTTCACTATTTGGGTTAATCAATGAGTGTTTATTTAGTAAATTATATTAGTTCAGTTCTCTATTATCATTGTTTTGCACTGAATATAATATGAAATATCCATAAAAGCGGTCGTCAGTTTACTCAGTGATAGAAACCTGTAATCTGTCAGTTTAAGTCTTATTACA